GGGCAGGGCAGGCTCAGGGGGTGCACAGCTGGTCCTTACTCACGGCCTGACTCACCAGGCCCTGAACCTGCCTGCTCCTGGGGGCCCCCGGAAAGTGCTCAGCGGGAGGCAGACTCACCCACCTCCAGTCCAGCATGTGGCCACCTCCCCTTGTCAGTGCAGGAAAGCCCTCAAAGACGGGCTTCTCTGGGTTTGTCACCCTTCCCTCCTCCAAGCGGGGAGCTCTCTGGATGTCACGTGGCCCCACTGTGTCACCCACACACTCTGCATTTCCAGCTTCTCTGGGACAATCCGAGTCCTGGCGGTGCTGGGCCCACATGTGGGCAGGGGGACACAGGGCCTGGGCAGGGACTGGGCAAGGTGAGGCGGAACTCGGCTGGTTTCTACTTTTTCTGTCCCCTGCTGGCCCCGGGGACACCAGAATTTGTCACCCATGACCCAGATCCTCTCCAAGGCGGGAGGGAACCTCAACATTCACACGAAAGCTCTGTACTTCCCGGTGCTCGGCCGGTCACTCCCGCCCTTGGTTGGCCTCCCGGCCTTGCCCTGACATCAGGGCCTGCTGCGGATGAGACACTCAGTCCTTACGTGTCCTCCAAAGATGGGTCACACAGAGGACAACCGGGGAAGAGGGTGAGAGGCTGCAAAGGAATGTGTCCTCTGTCCTGGCTGCTCTTGGCCTCCGGCTGCCGGTCCCGCCCCAATCGGCTCTGGGATCTGCCTGTCTTCCCAACGCTGTCTGTGACCTTGTGACTCTCTGCCCCCGGGACCTGCGCTTTCCTGGAGGATCCACCTGCCCACCCCACAGACAGCCCTCCCGAAGGACAGGAGTGGTTCCTGCCGGTGGCCGTGGCTCAGCTGAGCCTGGCTCGCAGCCTGGACGGGCGTGTCCCCCCAGGTGCCGACAGGAAGCAGGCTGTGCGTTCCTCGGTTGTACCAAAATACAGCCCTGTTCCCAACTGTGGCTGGGGCGCTGCTCGGGCGCTGCCCCGAACTGCTGACTGGTGCCAAGGCTGACCGTCCTGCTGCCCAATGGGTGGGCGCCCCAGGCCACTGGTCACTGTGTCTGTGTTCCCCTAGCCGCCTGCCCGAGCTTGAGGCCTGGCTTTGGGACAGCCCCCATCAGACAGATTTATCCTCCTGACCCCAGCCCAGCACAACTGCATTTCCGTTTTCTTTCTTTCCTTTTTTTTTTGGTTAATTTTCACCTGAGGATATTTTTTCCGTTGATTTTTAGAGAGAGTGGAGGAGGGGAGGGAGAGGGAGAGAAACACTGAAGGGAGAGAGACACACGGATTGGTTGCCTCCCTTGCGCTCCCGACCGGGGCTGGGGGTCGAACCTGCAACCCAGGTATGTGCCCTTGACCCACGGCCGACGCTCTAACCGCTTATCCACCCAGCCAAGGCACGACTGCATTTTCTGCAAGAAAGGGTCTCCCTGCTCCGCCAGCCTCTCCATTAACCTGGGGGTTAGTTGTCCCATCACCTTGTCCTGTGTGTTTCCTGCTTGTAGGAGCGGCAGGGGTGGCAGGAGATAGTGCGAGATTGTGGGCACACCCGAGGGCTGGGTCCCTATGGGAGGAGGAGGCAGGTGGCAGCCGTGGTGTCCTGTTGGGGGGGCAGGGCTGGGAATCCTCCCGGGGAGCCTGCTCTTCCTTCTCAGCAGGTCCCTTGCCACCTTGGGATCGTCCCTCCTCACCTGGTGCTGAGATGCAGGGTTCAGGTGGAAGGCCCCTGCCGCCCCCTTGCCAGCACGTCTGGGGATTCCTGAAATACAGGATCCGAGCTCTCGCCCTGAGTTACATGGGAAGATGGAAGCGGGACAAACACGAAATCGAGGTCGGCGTGTGAGCCGTGGGCAGTCCCCTTCCTGAGCCACCAAGGCCCCAATGGAAAGTGCCTGATAAGCCCAGGCCCCTGCTCTGCAGCCGGATCCCCC